ATATTATACAACAGTCCTTGACTTAGGCCCTTGGTTTAATGATAGTTCAAGCTGCAACAGCCTAGGAAAAAGTGACTTATCGCCCATCCTTGAAATTAAAAGCATTGCACCATCCCTGGAGTCAGAACTGAAATCTGGGTGCTTGGAAAGTGGCTCACATTTACAACAGTTGCACCATCTTGTACTCAAGCGATCAGGATTTGCAACCTGATCCAACTGGCATTCAGTTGCAATTTGCTTTTCTCTAATCCATTATTTTATGTGGTGACAAAGGCAGGTTTTGGTCTTCTACATGTCACCCTTACAGGAGTCTCATGACTGCCTCTGCATCCTCCTGAGAGTTTGCTTCCCGGGGTCAAATGTACCACTTTCCTCAATCTTTCCATAAGGGTTTCTAGTGCCTGGATCATCCTTTGAACCAATTCCAAATCATCTGATGATTATCTGTAAAGAACAGACTGCCACTATTGGAATTTGTCCAAAAGGGCCCTGCTGGTTATAATACTCTTGGTATTCATCATTCAATGCAGCTTTTAGAAGAAGAATCTCCAAAGAATTATTATTAAAAATTCAGAGATGTTTCCACAGAAAAACAGGCGTTCTTGGCAGCCGCAACTGTTTACATTTACAGCACGCTGGCTGTAATGATTCATTACGTCCAGGTTTCTTCTGTAAGATGCGATCCCACTCCTAGCAGATAAATCTATATAAAGCAGGTATAGAGCCCCAGCCCAAGGAGTTGCTTCTCAACGCTTGCAGGGCCGAGAGAAGCGGAACTCCTCTGGGACTGGAGCAGGAGAACGGCATTTTCCCCTTCCAAAGAGGCAGCTCACTTGAATAAATACTTTGCCCACACAATGCAGTGGATGGGTTCAGACGGAGTGTTCCGAATGGTGCAGCCTGGAAACGTTTTCTGGGTTGGCTTAGGATGACATTCATAACACTCTGTCACTCCCTATTGGAAAAAAAGAAATAGGAAAAAAAATGCCGTAGAGCGAGTACTGATAATTTTTGAGGATTATAATGCTGTGGCATCAGAGACCAGAAAGATAATAATGTCCTACCTTTTTGATAACAGTGACTTGTCCAAGATAGCCTGCAGTTCCACTTTCTATAAGAGGGATATCAGCAGCCAAACACATCCTGTTCACATGGTTACGGGCAGCTGGGCAAAGAGATGACCATTACTGACTTCCAAGAACCAAAAGATCTACGTTCAAAACTGCCATATTTCTCCCGAAAGAACAGTGATGTCAGTCCTACAAGATAGACCTGACTAAAATAGCTGTCTTCCAATATTTTAGGGGCTTCACAGAGGTCAACCTATTCTATGCACCCCATGTTATTATGAAATACAATGAAAGAGACGTAGCAAATATTTGGAGTTACAAATGTATTTGTCTGTGGGACCCATTAAAAAATGTAAGATGCAAAGAGAAATCTCACCTCTGTTATCTAAGGCATTCATTACTAGGATGAACTGACGAAAAAATTCCACATTATAATCAGGGCTGCAGAAAAAGAGCACATAGCTGTTAGTTAAATCAAATGAAACCTATGTGAATACAACCTTTCCCAAATATCAAATCACTAAACTTGTAATTCCACTGGTTTCCCAGTCCATTACACAAGCTGCATGGATTAGCAGGTTAATTCAAAAATACTTTCAGTTAATATATCAAAACAGTTTGAAGAAAAATAAAATGGGCTGTTTTATTTCAGCCTGGAAAGCTAATTGATGGAAGATCACCGCTCTTTCCACAACCTGTTTCTTTAAGCAAAAGCTAGTTAAGATCCAAACAAAAACATTTTATTTTCTGAATAAAATTGACTCTGTTATATCTAGGCAGACATCTAGCAAAATCTGTCTTTGTTTGGAATATGCATAGCTGATGATGAGGTGATGGTTTCAGAAGTTTCAGCAGCTATCAGATATTTTGTTACCAAATCAGAATTAAGTAAAAAAAGAAAATTCAAATGATCTGATATCTTACAATGCTACAAGTTATGGAAGAAACTCAGCTGTGTGTGACAAAAAAATTATTTCCAAAAAACACATTTTTAAAAAATAAGCACTGAAAACACTTAAGAACAAGAATCAGACATACTTCATAATGCTGTCATGATAAGCAATAATATTAGCTTGTGGGTGAAACTGTAGCACACTTTCCTTGGCAACCTGCAAGAGATCAAGAAAGCATGTTTATACCCAAGAACCGGGGGCTGGGGACCCCCTGCTCTATGTCCTAAACAACCTGTGATTTTACTTAGTGCCCAGATCTGAATGGCTTTGGAATTTTAATTTCTGTTTGTTTTTTAAATGTATTTTTGTTATTCCTTGTTTACTTGATTTTAACATAGTATTAGACACTCAAGGCCACAATTTGTAAGTTAGAAAGCCACAAAATTAAATAAAATAAATGAATATTTAAGGAACTGTTTGTACAATGAAAAATGGAGAGGAACAAATGAAAATGACTTCTTGAGAGGATATAAATGGTGAATAATTTGAATTAGCTGAAAAATATAAGAAACTGTGTATACTTAGGATTCCTCTTACCTGAGCTTTTGATCTCCCAACGTGCTTCTTTTGAAACAAGAACTGCCTATTGAGATTACTGACATCAATGGTATCCAGATCAATCTAGAAATACAGTAATTGTAGTTACCAGATCTGTTCAGATGAATTAACAAAAGCATATGTTATGCATATTAGAAATCACAGTATTGCTTTTTGGATAAGGAAGGACCCAGAAATATGGACCACTCCTTTTCTGTGCACAATAATCTTGTACATCCATGAGTGGCAAATGGCTCAAATGGGTCTCTTCTTTGTATGCCTTAAGGCTTCACGTAGGGGCTTTGATAATCCCATAATTATTGGAATGCAAACAGAAAATTTGAGTCCAGGTTCAGTCATACTTAAACTAGAATAACTGAAACCAGTGACACTTTGGTTAATCAAAGTATCAGTGAATTTGCTTCCAGTATAATTAAATCTGAATCCAACCAACTGCATATTAAAAATATACTCTTCTATCCTATTTTCTAGCTTTTACTTTGTAATAATCAACAAGTAATAACTGATTTTCATTTGCATTATAAAATAAAATCAGTGATGTTCCAATATCATAATTTGTTTGTTCTATCACTATGTCCCGGTGAAGTAAAATTAAAGAATGAGATTAATCAATAAAACATAGGTAAACTAAGCTTTATTAGCAAGAAAAATGTTACCTATACCCATCTTATACAGGTGCAAAAGTACACTTATCTAAGCTAGGACATAGCAGTTTATGGATCTCTGAAAATATCATTTGAAATCCTCTACAACTTTTGTATTATTTATAATATTAAAGTTTGAATTTTAAGCATTTTATATTTCCTGCATATCCCAAGCTATTCTGTGAAAACAATGCACAATTCTTTTACAAATACACAGCAGTCATTGTACACAAACACTGAAACAGACTCCTCCCAATCTTAAGGAGTTTTGTAAATAACAACACTTGGTCCTTCAACTTTGCAGGGAATAGATTTCAAAGAGTTGCAATCACAGCAGAAAAAGCTCAGTTATGAATAGACAATCTTGCAGCAACCACAGGCAAGCTATAAGTATAAAGGCCTATTAAATGCATTCACACAACATATTCAGTTTCACTAGTTTTAACCTGGGGAGGTCACTTTTTATGTTAATGTTGTGTTAGTGTAAATTGCAATAGACTAATCCAGGAAAATGGGTTAATGTATAACTTAAGTGAGCTACTTTGCACATACTTTCATAAGATTTCAAAAGTATCTAATGAATAAAGAGAATAAGACTTCGGATATGAAGAGCAGAAAAACTGAACTCAAAATCCAGACCACTCGTCTAACGTAGCCCAACAGACAGTTCTAGACAGCCCAGAAGGGCCGAGGCTGCTGCTTTCCTCTTTGTTTCTTTCCAGGCTCTCCGCGTGGAGGTTCCGCCCTCAGCAGCCCCCACTCCTAAGCGGGCCAGGCCACAAAACTGCCCGCAAAAGCGTTAGAGGGACCCCGGATCAGGGCAGCTCCGGACGGCCGCTCCCTCGCCATCTGCCCGAACCAGGCGGCGGGAAGGGCGACCGGAGGCGGCCCGGGGTTCGGACGGCGAGGAGGCCCCGGGCCACCAGCTCTGCTGCAAGGGAGGCGGGTCCCTCGGGCAGCTCCCTCCGCCGGACACCAGTTGCAGCTCCGAGCCCCGCCGCTTCCCGCTCTCCGGCGTCCCCGCCTGGATGCTCAGCCGGGGCGCCGGGGCTGCTTTCCCGGGGACCCTCCAGCCCAGCCTCAGCCCCCCTGCCCTCCGGGGAGCCGCTCGGCAAGCCCGGCACCGGCCCGCAGCCGGAGCACGGCGCCTGGCGGCCCCTGCGGAGGGAGAAGGCGCCCTTCCCGCGCCGCCACCAAGCCCCGCCCCTCCCGGGGGTGGAACGCGGCCGGCCCGCGGGCGCCGAGCCGCGCGAGCTCCGGCCGGCCCGCCCAGCTCCCGGGCCTCACCACGTCGATGTGGGCGAAGCCGGTGAGCACCAGGTCCTTGAGCAGCTCGCAGCCGATGCCGCCGGCGCCCACCACCAGCACCCGGGCGCGCGCCACGGCCTGGGCCAGCTCCCCCTGCGGGGCCAGCGCCGCCGCCATCCCAGCGCTGAGGAAGCGGGCGGGAAAAGGGACGGCCAGGGACTCCCGCGAGGCGCGGCGCATGCGCCGCTCCTACGCCACTTCCGGCGACCGTCACCACAGAGCAGGAAGCGGTCTCCCAGAACGGCCGCTGCCCTCGCTGCTCGGCGGCCCCTAGCGGCCGGCAGGCAGCAGCGGAGACAAAGCCCCAAAATAAGATTAGAACTCTCTGTCCAGACACTGCACAGAATTGCCTTTGGTGGAGACCTGAGATTGGGAAAAATCCATGCCACCCATACGGGTGAGAAGGGAATTACACTTACTTTTACACACACACACACCCCTACAGTAACAGTAAAAAATACATGAAATCATCACAACAGTACAATATTTATTAATCAAATTCATACCATGTTGCAGTCATATGACTCTTGGTAGCTCACAAGATAGGAACATATACTAATCCCAACACAGGATATCAGGTCTTGAAAGCCTGCTGGAAAAGCTGCCTTCTGCTTTCTCTGAAAGGCAGACTAAACGGGAGACAGAAGAAGGCCGTTCTAGAACACCAAAAATGCAGAGCCTCTGGGGTCACATCCATGACCTCCCCAAAATGGAGAACAGATAGCTGCCTTTCCTCACAATCTCAGAATGGTCAGCCCAGCTGTAGCAGGAAATGCAGAAACATGAAGTACTTGACAGTCGTGCATGGGGCCACATATGCAGAATATATGCTTCTGAGCCTGGACAAGGCTAGGCAGGTAGGACCAGTGGAGACCAACGTTTCTCTTTTACAGATTACAGGGCCTCATGATATCTGATTCAGTTTTCTTGTGTGTCTTCGGTTAGGCAAGGAATTAAATAGACTCTATTTAAACAATTGCTGGTCTGGATCTTCTTGTACAAAAATAAATTCTTCTGAGGGTGAAGAACAACCGGCTACCCAACAACTTTTCTCACACGTGTATACTACTCCTGTTCCAAATTCTATTGATGTATCTGCAAAAAAAGAAGAGCTTTTTCAGGGTTATTGCCCTCATCTCAAATGCATGTAAAAAGATAATTTATGAAAGTGTTGTCTTTAAAATTCAACCTCCCCCCCCCCATCAGCACCATAACAGTAGTCTCTCAAAAAATGCCTCAAATGCTCAATACCTGAGGGAAGAGACAGGTCTTAACAGCCTTCTGGAAAGCAAGGAGGGACTGAGGCCTTTGTATTTTAGGGGAGAGGGCTGTTCCATAGGGTAAGCACAGTTATAGAAAATGCTCATCTCCTGGGTCCCACCAGATTACACTTAACAGAGGAGACCCGGAGTAAGCACTTTATCCAATCTAATGGAATGGGCAGGTATCATCTAGGAGAGCAGATCCCTCAAATAACCTGGCCCTGTGCCATGCAGGGTTTTAAAAATGACACCCAGCACCTGGAAAAAAAACGGGAAACTAGTGCAATTTGTGCAGCAGCAGTTAAGAGCAAGGTCCAAGCAGCCATAGCTCCAATGGGAGGTGACCACAATATGAGTCTGCGGTCATGAGCAAGACTCCCAGTCAAGGAATGGACATAACTAGAGCACAACATGAATTCTTGGCAAGGCCCTGTGGACTGTCAGCTGCTCCTCAAGAACAGGAGCTAGAATATTTTGAAATTCACCTGGCAAGGGAAAAAAGCTAGAATCAAGATTGAAATTGTTACAAGAATCTAAAAAAAAAAAAAAATGGAGGCTTTGGACTTCTGGACTGGGTTTTATACTGCCAAGCATGTGCGTTAACATGGTTAAAGGAATGGATTACTCTTAAAAATAAAAGATTACTATATTTAGAAAGACACGATGGTCCAAGCATGTGAGAAAAAAAAATAATTTATTGTAAGAGAAATCCATAGGGTGAATGGAACAGCCAAACCCAGACTGACAAGGCATTTGCAAACAGAAGCAGTATATAGGCAGAAATTAGCTGAACAGCCTTCCATTCTGAAGTAGAACCTTCAGTTTTCTGCCCAGCCTCTCTTCCCTACTTAAACCACAGAAAGGAGGACCTCCTCAAAATACTAATTGCAAGACAAAATCTTAATTCAGCTACCTACCATTTTCTCTGGTCTTTAGCATGTTGACTAGGGCCGGCATCAGTTGGAATTCAAAGATTCTCTTGCTTTTGCAGTTATTACAGGGTGGGATTCTTGTCTGCAAGTCTGCAGATGGGTGGGCAATAAATAAAGGCTGGCCATTCCAAGAGTATCTAAGAGTCAAAAGGTCCCGGACATATTATTACCCCAAGCTTCAATTTAGGGAAAAAGCTATCCCATGGCAGCTAAACAAAAAATACAGTAAAAATAGTTACGATGACTTTAGCAATGGCAATGGCACTTAGATTTATATACCACTCCATTGTGTTTTACAGCCCTCTCTGAGCGGTTTGCAGCCTCTTGGCCCCCAACAATCGGAGTCCTCATTTTACCGACCTCGGAAGGATGGAAGGCTGAGTCAACCTTGAGCTCTGCCAGGATTAAATGCCAGGCTGTGCTCAGAGTTTGCCTGCAATACTGCATTCTAACCACTGCACCACCATGGCCCTATATTAGTAACACATGGCATAAAAGTATAATAAAATATTTTTAAAAGAAAACATCAGAAGTGAAGATATTCTGTTACAAATGGGGCCCGGTTGCCGAGCACCCAAGCCCCGGTCCGTGGACCTGCACCAGACAGGTCTGAAATTCAATGCAACCTGCCAATTTGCAGCAACTGCTTTTCTTGTTTAATGTTTACAGCAGGTATACAAAATACTTGCCAGCTGAAGGCCGCTATTTGCCTCAGATCCTCCCCTCCCATTGGTAAAAGAAAGCGGCATAGCCCACTTCTCTATCGTCCAGGAACATCACTACATTATCAGCGGCCCCACTGCTTGGAGGAAAAATGTTTTGTTTTTAAATGTGTAAAAGCCTGCTTCCCATGATACTCCTTCATGTAGGTGTCATGGCTAAAGCATGGCTCCCAGTGCAAACCCTGCTCACAGCCAGACAAGAAACATTGGAATGTAACGGAGGTATTGGGGGGGGGGGGCAAAGAAATGCAAGAGAGCCTACTCAAAGCTTGCAGCTATGCCACCGCCTCAAGGTCAGGCAGTTGGAAAAGTCCAGTCCCTTACCCAAACAAAATGAACATAGTGGACTGGAGGAAATAAAGTGACTGTGGGATGGCTGGGGGGAAAGGGGGATGTTTACTTATGCTATTTCTGTGGGAACAGCTAGAATTAGCTTTTCTACGTCCATATCCATGCCAGCTCAGTAAATTATATCCTTGGAAAATGAAACTGGCCAAGGAGTCTTTATTTGCTGAATAAACTGCGTGGGAGGGTTGACAGTAGAGCTCAAATATATTCTAAATTCTAGCTTATTTCCAAACACATTCTGTTTTTTAATACATAGAAGCTAAATAAATGGGCCTAACCTACCTTAAGATCTGTTCCTGGCAGGAGGAAATTCTTTTCATGAATTTGTAGAATATCTGGTTTTTCTTTTCAGCTTCATTCTTCTCATACTTCTCCCCAAAACCATCAGTGGTGTAACTAAGCATAGAGAAGCACTGATATTACACCAATCACAATATTAGTAACAAATTCAGAAGTATTTTCTACTAAACAGAAAAAATGAAAACTATGGATTGGGATATCCACAGGATGTGGTTAAAATCCATGACAGCAAGATTGAAGCTCTGCCTGGAGGAAGATTTATCTATACTCTTCTGTGCTGTTGACTTTATGACTGATCCTGATAATTTTTTACATTTGTATTTTGTTATCTGAATGGTCTGTACTTTTGTGAACTGCTTTGATACCTAGAATAGAAAACTATAAATATTCAAATAGCAAGTCTCTTGAATATACTCTCTTCTATGCTTCTCCTTCTCCACATCTGCAGACCTGGCTGTTGCTTGGAACAAATTTTCTGGGCACTCTAGGACCTTTGCAATCCAGGGGAAACCTTCAGATTAACCTTGACTCAAGCCTCACCCTGCTGACATCAAATGTTCCAAGTCCACATCCTCCCTCTGCTGATACTCCTTTAAAAGCCTCTGAGCGTGATCCAGATCATCCCAACAAAGGTAGTCTTCTTCATCCACTACACTGATGAAGTAGGGCTGGAACTCGGGGACACAGCTGGAGGGCTTGATTTGCTCTTCCTGAGCCAGATTACAAAAGCCCTCCCCTGTATTCTTCCCCAGGCTCATCCTCTGGAATAGAGCTGCACAGTGCGTTTCTCTGGGGAAAGTGTTGGAAATCCCGCATGGCTCAGAAGAGGCCTCTTCACAGTTCTCTCCCCAGTCATCTGCTCCATTGCACCAATCTGTGGCTGCTTGCGTCCTTCTTTGCTCCTATTAAACCAAGGGATGCAGAAGTAACTTACGCAGAGCCAGAGCCAAGCAGTTCTAAAGAAGTTGCTTTAATCCAGAAGGGGTCAGGATTTTTTAAAATATTCTTTTTTAATTCTGTAAGCCATACTTGAGATGGGCAGCTACATAAACTTAACTAATAAATAAATCTGGCTGGGCCCTTCTGCTTGCAGAACAAAGCTATACCTTTGATCTCTTTATGCTTTTTTTAGGAAACACAATGCAGATTTTGCACAGCTGAAAACACCTTTGAAATGAACACATGGCTATAGGAAAAAAAACAATTTTAAATGATAAAGGAGAATATTTGTAGCTTGGGGTTGAAATAATGGGTACTTGGCACTCTCTGAACTTGCAGGTGTTTCATTACCCAAACTAGGTAGCATTATCAATGCTAGTAAGGTGTCTTTAACTATCTGAACATTTATTTACTCATTATAACCTAACCAATACATAGCGGAATATTTCTGCTTCACAGACAATGTTTGTCTGCCCTTGCATCCAGACTGGGAAGTTGATATAAAAATGCATGTTAGTCTTCCCATTAATATTCCATTTAACTATACCAAGCTATATACAGTAGCCATATTGAGACAAGGTGCACAAATATAACATATTCTGATGAAGACTACACATATTATCTTGTAGCATGTTGCAAGCTACCCTTGTTTCAACAGACTAATATATATAACACTCCCTCTCCCTATGTTTCACTGGCACTTAGGGACTAGTTCAGCCTCTAAACTCAAGCTACTAGTTCAATAGCCATTAAATGCCCCAATTCTAATGCGAATTTCCTAACTGATAGTCCAGCAAAGGCTTATATTTCTGCATTGGAAGTTCCCCCAGTTAGAGAGCTGACCTGGCCCACAGGCATCGAGTTATGGAATATACTCTCGGTGGCCCACGATACCTGCTTCCCTGCGCAGTCTTGTATTTTTTTTCTTGGAACTTGCAAATACTGGGATCGTAACACCTTCCAGCTTTAAAAACATGGTACAGACAATAGCAAAACAGAAACAAATTAATTAATGCTAACAGAATTGCTTCACAGTAATTTTACTAGATTTGACTGCTTATTGCAAAAAAGTTAACCTGTATAAATCAAGAAATTTCTGACTTGTATTCCTTTTTTGCCTTGTTCTCACTGGGTGAACTAATGCAGGATGCCGCCCGATTCTAAAGCAGGCCACTAGTCTATTTTGCTTTGCACAATATTCATGCAACGTACGATCTACTTTATTACCACCGATTACCTCAACAAACTAAAAAACAAACTATGGGTTATAAATCACAATGGCTGGGTTGACATAGCATACTAAGCCATACAGGCAGTCCTTCCTTAATGATGGTAATTTCCATCATAAACCAAATCATATATCTTCATCACTTAGAAATTGCAATTCCCACAGTCCCAGTTGCCATTGTTAAATGAGGATCATGGATTATTAAGCAAGGACCTCATGTGGCCACAACTTGTAACTTCCACAAGCCAAATCAATGGGGAAGCTGGCAGGAAATCTGTCCCAGTTGGCTCACAAGGCCAGTCAGCAGGTGAGTGCTACAGAGTGTGGGTAGGCAGGCAGGGATGTTGCGCAAGCTTGGCCAGGCAAATGTATGATAGAGAGTGAAGGCAGGGGGATGTTGCGTAGCAGAAAAAGCAGTGGGAGTGGCTTACGGGAGTGATTTATGACCTCCTCTGCCGATTTTTCCCATTGACTTTGCTTGTAGGAAGCCAGTAGGGATCACATGACTGGGATGCTGCAATCCTCTCAAGGATGGGTTGTCATACCACTTGTTCAATAGTGCCACAGCTTCAAACAGTTGCTGAACTTGTAAATAATGCTAATGATTTGCTGGGGTTCCTGAACCAATTAGCAGCTCTGGAATATTCTCTACCACTCAAGGTCTTTTGCGTATGAGGAAGGTGCTCATCCATAACTCTCTTGCAAACTCTTACAATAGGGTCTACTCCTTGAGATTGCAGAAAATTTAAAGAACTTTACAGAGCAAAGTATTAGATCGTATTACTTCTTAGTTACGTACACAAGTCTCACTTAAACACTAGACAGTTTGCCCCTCAAAAGTGGAGATGAAACCCAAACCACCTTTCAGAATTCCCCCAGCAGCTTTTTGTGGCACAAGCAAATACGTTAATGACACGGTGGTAGGGCGAGCCTTCAAGGGAACAGTCGACTTGCACCACGTGCAGCAAGCCAGCCCCGCAACTCCCGCAGGCAGGATGGGCCACAGGCGCCGGGAGCCTCCAATCCTGGGAGAAAAGGGAAAGAACCGGAAGTTGTTTAACTTGTTTAATAAGGGAGCTTCCTTCCTTCCTTCCGTCCTGCAAGTTGCCACGCCGCGCCACAGAGCCCCGGCCAAGGTCGTGGCTTCCAGCTACTCCTCCCCCAACCGCCAAAAAGCGGGCGAGGTCAACTTCGGCAGAGCGTTTCGGCCTCGCAGCCAACGCCTGGCCACCCAGCCCGGGGCTTCCCGTCAGTCGCGCTCCGAGGAAGAGCCGGGAACGGCACGCCGTCCTGCTCCGCCGCCGCCCCCTCGCTGTCGCCAGCACCGCGGGGCGTGAGCCCGGCTGAGCTGCGGCGCCTCCAGCGGGAAGGCTGAAGGGCTCAAGAGGCGCGGCGGGGACGGGCTCGCGGCCCTCCGAAGATCTTCCCGAATTTTCCGTCGGGGAGCCAGGCCCGAGCGAGCCCATCACCGCCCGGGCGCCCTCAGACTGTCCCACCGCCGGGGGGAGACGGCGGCGGCGGCGGCGTTCAGCGGGTCCTCGACTCACCGGAGATCCGCCCAGCTTGCTGGCGGCGCCCTGCCACCGGAGGCCCTCGCCCGGCGGGACGGCGGCGTCGCACAGCCCCAACAGCACCCGGGGCGGCGCGGTCGCCATGGCGTCTCCGGCCACCCACGTGGCGGAAGCAGCGGCAGGGCGACCGGAAGCGTGGCGCGCGTCCGCCCTCTGGAGACGGCAGGCGAGGAGGGCCAAATGTGGGCGCGCGAAGCTGCCTCTTTCCAGCCGGCTGGGAAGGGGCATCGCGGGCAGCGTTGGTGGGCCGCCTTGCTTCCCCGGGCGGGACCCGCGTCTCCTCCGACGCAGCTCTTGCGCGCCTTTCACCTTCCTGACCGGCTGCGGCAATTCCGCCTCCGTGGTTGATAAGGGAAGCGGGAGAGTGGAAAGCTGATCGCGGGGCTCCTCCCTGGGCAGCCGGTTTGCGCAGGCCTTGGAGGCAAAGCCAGGAGTAACCAAAATAAAAAATAAAAGTCTGAACGTTTTTCTAACTTCAGGCAGGCAGAGGCTTGAGACGCAGATTTAATTCATTTCCCGTTTTGAGATTAAAATCCCTGCTGAGCGTTGATAATTGAACAAGATCTGCCTCCCTCCAATCGAAGGAGGTCCTCCAATCTTTCAATTCGCAGTCCAGAGTTGTCTCTTAAATGGAAATGTGAAAAACTGCATCCGTGGGACGAGAGCAAACATTCTCAGCTTCCTATGGTTTAGTTACAGGTTTTCAAAGCCATAAATGGAAATCTTGATTTTCTTGCACATCGAGTGTGTTTATCCTTTTTTGGCTTCATTGGTGTTTAGATGATCCTAATACGGTAAACCTATTCTCTGTATTTTGATACCGAATGCTAATAGAAGAACATGGACCATTAAGACAATGTAATATAAGAAAAACATCAAAAATTTAAAATTTAGGCCAGTTAAGTAATACTAAGCTTGTTTTCATCCAAAGCTGTGAGGCTATAGGTTTAATTGTTAAACAGGTGATCAAACTGTGGTCTGAAAACAAGGGAGCCAAAAGAAGTGGCCCAAATATCTACGTTTGAAATATAATGGAGCTGTAAAGAAATTTCACAAAGATTACTTTTCTTATTGAATGGTTTTATTCTGGCTTAAAATAAAAGGCCCACTTTTTCGTAGCAAGATACACTGAAGGGATGTCATGCCCCAATTAGTAAACTCAAATAACTGATGGGTAAATCGGAACCAAATCATATCTTCATAACGTCTCATTGGTATTTACAATTTATCTGGTTTAAATAAGTTTGGGACGCCTTATACAGTATACATAGTTATTGCAACAATACAGCATTTGCCTTTTGTCTAAAAAGCCCCTCAAAACTGTTCAGTATCATGATTTGTGGATTCCAAAAAAGGCGTTGTTAACATGCAGAATATTACTAAACAATAGTATCTAATTCTACAGTTGCCAAATAATTGGCCTCATATGGAAATGAATTACAAAATACTTCCTTATAGTGCTATACAAAAAATATAAAATTATGATTCTATCACCTTAATATTCCCATTTGCTAACAGTGCATTTATCCACATTTTATCACGACTGAACATGAAGGAAAATGAACAAAAATTCAGCAAATTAGATAAAATATTTTAATCTTTGGATCCCTTTATTCTTGTGGCTTTCAGATATACATAAAAATACAAATTATTAAAGATCTGTATCTAATTATAACTTAATAGCAAAAGAAGTCATAACTAGTTATTAGAATTAACCTCAGTTACTCCAGGCAAAATCACTCTAGTGATACTGGGGTAAAAATGAACAGTCAATGTCTCCAAGCTACAGTCCATCAAAACTCTGGCAACTGCAGACACTAAGAAATCACTTTTAATGGAGTATGCCAACAATGCAAAACATTTTAAGAATCGACACATGGAGACATTTCATTTTTATTCCAGGCACCTCAATGGGAACCATTCAGGGGCTGGTTCTCTTTTCACTTACTATCATAACGTGACTTTCAAAATGTGCATAAAGTGTTACAGTTTATCTTTATCTAAATAGTCCCTTAGTGTGGTCCAGTCCTTCAGCAAGACCAAAAACTAGAAAATGGATTTCTTGCAAGATAAATATTTTAATCCTTCTGAATAATGGAAGAACATTTCAAATATTTATTGGTAATCAAAATATAAAAACAAACAAATTTAAAGCTGAAAAGCTGGAAAGAAACCCTCCAAACATGTGTTTAGCATTTCAACAGGGCAGTTTTGTAGACTTAAAAATGTTTATTCTTAAAAAATTAGTTGCTTTTTATACAGCTATACAAAATCCCTAGTGTTTCTTTGGCAATGGGATAATCATGGAATTATACAACTATAAAAAGCTTCCTTTGCCTAAGAAACAGCATTTTCAATGTTTATACTTTCTTTACCGACAAACCAAATTTTCTACTGCCCAGCATCCTGTTTGACAAAAGTTACAACTATCTGAGAAGAGAGATTACAGGATTTCAAATACAACCTTCACAGGATCAACACACTCACAGTACTGACGGCCTTCTGCATACAATTGTCTTTGCAGCCTGCAGCAATTATAAAATACAATTTTAGTTCAGAAAAACCCTTTGTGTAATGAAAAAAAAATACTAAAACTCCACAGAAGTACTGCTTTATACTTTAACTATATGTAAGAAATTATTTAAGTTTTCTATCTCAAATATATTTAATATTGTTTTTGAAGATGGCCATATTTTCAAAAAAAGTACTGCTCCTTTGAAATTAAAAAACAAACGCCAGTGCTGGTGAAGTTTTAACAGCAAATGAACATAATTCTTTGCAAAAACCCAACACCTTCTCGGTACCATGAAGATCAGCAAGTCCACCTGCTTTCAAATTCTTTGTAGATTATGCTGCAACTTTGTTGTCTTTCTAAAAAGTAATATAAAATTAACATTATTTTTGGTTCAAGCTGATATAAAGCCAATTTGATCAAGAACATAAACATTTTGAAAGATGGGCAGCCATACAAATTTGATAAATAATAAACTTGTCATCAAATTTTCAAAATGAATGAGTTTCATTACATCTACTAGACTTTACCAACTATGTGTTATAAAACATAAATAATAACTACTGTACATCAAAATATGAATGAAATAGAACAATTGCTGCTCTTGAGAAAAAAATTAAGGCATGCCTCTTACTTTAGTGCCTATGTTTAGTCTGTGAAAAGTCCCAATTCATTGCCTAGTACAGATGGAAAGATCCTTGCTATTGCTGGGGAGTATAGCTTAATGATGTTAGACAGAGGAGTGATCTGACTTGATAAAAAGGAAACTTCACCATGAATTTGTAGCCCATTTATTGTGGTGCTTAATTAATTAATTCAATGAGGCCACCAACCAGTGGTGGAAAAGGAAAGGGAAAACTGGCAGGAAGATTCACAGAACCATTTCAGATTTTCTCTTTCACTGTACTTGTAAGATCATGCTATATATATATTTTATGATAACCATAAAGATATACTGAGTTAATGGTACCATAAGTAAAGAAAAAAGTAAGTGAATTATCTAAACTATTTCAGTTCTGTAAGTAGCACTACAATTAGCAATTTACAGATAGTAATAATATTGGTAACTGCCTTACCCTATATTCAAAATCCGCAAACTCCCTGCCACCACGGCCACCTCTGAATCCACCACGAAAACCCCGAGGAGCATGGAAGGGTCCTCTTGCGTTTCCACGTCCTCTACCTCCCCGGAAGCCACCACCTCCTCCGCTTCCCCCTCTGCCTCTGAATCCCCCCCGACCACGGTTTGAACGCAATGGGATTCCAAATGTCTCTGCATTTAATCTTCTTTCCTCTGCCCAGGTTGGTCTTCGTTCTCTGAAAGTTACAGAAGTGATATGTTGCTGTTGCTTCAAGTTATGACCAGTTTTTTCATAAAAAGATATTTGCACCAAATGACCACTAGAAATGCCAGGGTTAGTTAGCAAAATGAAAAGTACAAACTGCATTACAGCACATTATGTAACCTGTTTCTCAAACCTTTAGTAGTAGACACCCAAAGGAAAAGAGACAGGTGAATTTAGAAATGCCAGGATCTTCATTAAGTTCCACTTGGGAGAGAACTGAGATCAGAAGAAATTCATAAACTGTTGATGAACTGATGCAAAAAAAAAAAAATGATGAAACAACTTTGTCCACTACCTCAGCCTTGGATTTTGAGAGAACCTGCCTGATTTTAGCAGAAGTCTCAATCTCAGTGTCAGGTCTGCCATCTTCACCACACTCTGCTTTGTTGGCATCCTGCCATAAAATGCAGGGGAGAGAGAGAAATTGGGGAGATAGGAGGGGGGGAATGACAGGATGACAGGAACCAAAGGTGTCAATCCAGAACAGATCAGCTGTGAGAATGGAATGCGAAACTCCACCAAAGAGGCACCAAATATCATTGGACACTGATGAACTGGTCAATGGGGGAGGACCAGGGAAGAAGGAAAAATGCAGGCTTTGCATGGGAATATTCAGATCCAGCTTTGCTTATGCTGTAACCACTTGACTTTAGTAAAAGTAAACCTTTCATTTCAAAAATGGAGTCGAGGGTCTTTCTTTCCTAAATGCTCAAGTCGGGACAAGCCTGACACTCGAAGTCTCCATCTATGGTTCATATGGCCTGCAGCAAAATGAGCAGAGTAGAATGAACTGTGGCAAGCCTGAGTACAGAAGAAAGATTATAATTATAAAAACAAGTTACTAATATTTGCGTAAGATAGAAATCATTTTTAATTGCGGACACTGCAATCAAAAGTTGCACCCACCTATATAATGTACTAGTCCAGTTCATTCTACTGCCTTCATTCTGCTTAATGTGAAAAAGAAACTTCAGTTCTCTATTCACATTCAAAATTCTGGCTCAGACATTCTACATGTTAGTATCAAAAGAACATTGTGTGTAGCTTGCTCAGAAAAACTTGGTACCTGTTGTCATCACAAGAAATGTTATCAAAGAAAGACTTGGTTTTGTCATAGTAGCAATTTGGGCCAAGTGGGTCTTCATCATCTGCATTGCCTTCGCTGTTTTGGGTGTCAACACCTGAATCGCCTTTATCTTCCCCATTCACAGGTTTTTCAGGCTTATCCTCTAGAAAATCAAAAGGGGAAAAGAAAAAGACCAACCTCAATGACCATTCTAGGAAAATATTGCCTGAAAAAACTAATAACTGTTTAACTTCACTATCACTGCCTGATCTTCTTGCGTGCAGCTACCTTTGGAGCAGAACAGTTCAATGACTGCTAATGGCATTGTCACATGGGGGAAGGGAACCCCAAAACTGGGAAAAAACACAAATGGTTCTTTTAATTTTTTTCTGTTTCTTTTCGTACCCTTTTACCACATTTTACCACATTCTTGTAACTAGCAAAAACTAAAGTTACACCAAGAGATCAGCTAGATCCAGATTTAGTCACATTTAGAATCAAACTACTTGAAATCACAATGTCATGATGATTTTCAATCTATCCTAAGCACGATTAAGTATGAACTGGACCCACTGGAAACTCTATAATTACATTTTATTAACTCAAACAATTTGGGTACTTAAATCTGGTGCATACGGAGTTGCAATTTAGAATGTGAGACAATTACTTCAGGGAAAAGGAAAATTATGTAGGAAAAAACTCAGAGACTTTGACTATGTCTAAATGAAGCCTCTCTTCAACAAAAGCACCCATAAGATTTAACTCCACAGTCAGCAAGCCTCATACAAGTAAAAAAGGCTCTGTTCACCACTTACCTTTCAGTTTTAGCTTATTTTGAAATTCACGATCTATTTCATCTTTATTAAACTGTGCGTTTGCACTTTCAAAGTCAAAATCCTTCTCAAACTTCATGGGAACATCCCGCCTCACACCAAACCTTCCTCGGCCTCCCCGATGGCCTGCCCGGCTCCTCCGCGAAGGGGCCCCTGGAACTGTAGCCAAAACCAAAAACAAAACCAGGGTCTAAAGGGCTCCACAGGTTTCCAGGCTTTGGTAAACAGCATCTCCAAATGACATTCAACACTGACCAACGGGCAATAGTTTGCTTGCTAATACTAATAATGTGAAACAACTTATATCCGATGTCACCAGACAAAATCAGTTTACTGAAGGCATACTGAATGTTTTATTTTGGATGAATTAGTTTAACAAGTCACAGAAATCCTGAATGAATGTGCTTCGTAAGACTGAAGATTGTTCTACTCCTCAATCTTTTCAGGATCAAAAATATTTGCATTTTGGGTGAGACACAAACTCAAAAGTCATCAATGATGAAAACATCCACGTATCCTTAGAAAGATACGTGGATGTTTTCATCATTCACCAGCCCTGCCCCCTGCCCCCAAATCTCTCAGGAGAGGAAAGCAGTTGCTTTCGCTCTTTCACAAACAACATCCTTGTAATGTCTGATAAGGAGCCAGCCGTTTGTGGATCAGAGCTGAAATCCACTTTGGTCCTGGTTTGTTCCAATCAGCAACGGCGGAAGCCACCTCCCTATATTCAGGAATGTAATGCAAGACGTTCTATCCGGTTGTTCTCATGTCCAACGGAAGCAGAAAATGAGGGGGAACGTTCTTACATTCTCAATCCTTTAAAGCGGGGAAGACCTTTTAGGACATTGTTGTAGTTTAGCCCACCCTATGGCAGAATATTTTATTTTCAAAAGTGATTTCAGTTTACCTATTTGTCGCTTGTTTTCATGTCTTAGATGTTCTGCTTCATATCTTGCTACCTTCTGTGCTTCAGCTAGAAATTGAGGAAATGCAAACAATACTTATAATGAATAATTATAATAAACAGAATAATAATTCTGTTTTATCAGGCTTTATCTCATCTGGAGCTTGGAAGAAGCAAAACATTCCTGGCTTCATTTCTGCCAAACTCGGGCTGACTCTAAATGAATGCGATGGGTTTGTTCCAGATTAAGAACCATTACGCTTTCCGTTCTGCATATGCCCCAGAACAAAAGGATAAGTTTTTCCAAGCTGGAATCCATCACTGAACAGATTTCTCTGCTGCCAGAAGTATCTTCCCAGATACAAGACATAAAGATGCACCTATCATTTTATCTCAAGGCCTGACATTTGTCTCTATTTGTCTCTAGATGATCTCTATTCCACTTTAGCACATAAGACAAATTCAAAATTCGATCACAGGGACTTTCAAAAGACTAACAAAAGACCAAAATATCTAAAACAACCCACCATACACAAGGGTTGCAGCAATATCATACTAAAGTAATATTCTACCTCTCCGGTGTTCCTGATGATCTAATGTTTTTTGGTTGATAGACCCAAGTGGTCGGTTTGAAACAGAACTTCTCCCAACTGGGACTGAGGCAGGTAAATGGGCTGAGGCGGTTTGCACTGCTTGCTCCAGGGTTGGACTCTTTCTCAAGTGATCTAAGGGAGGAGGGGTTGACCGAGCTGAAACAGAAGCAGGAATATAGTATTAGCTTTGGGCCTCCTTTAAGGATTCCTTGGAAATCTACTAATTCACTTGAAGAAGACATAACTTTCTCAAATAGAATTTATCTGTAAAGTTAGATGAAAATATTCCCTTTCTTGTTTTAAATAAATCTTGCTGTAAACCTTTATCTTCAGTCACTAATTCTCTTCCCATAACTTTTTCTCCTGGGACCCTGAAACCGTCATATATACAGGCCAGCTGCCAAGCGCCTCAATTATGAACGTGTGATCGCGGGGATGCTGCAGGGGTCATAAGTGTGAAAAACAATCATAAGCCACTTTTTTCAGTGCTGTTGTAACTTTGACCGATCATTAAACAAATGGTTGTAAGTCAAGGACTATTTGTATATCCAGTAAGAAATATATGAGGGCCTGAGAATGTAGGTTTCTTTTATGATATGTTTGTTTGCATTTATACCTGCTGACTGGTACTCTCATGTAGAAAATAGATCACTCTCAAATAAGGATTTTAGAAATTATACCTGTAATTTCCTCACTAAGATCTAGTGTGGTCCAAAATTCAAGGAACGCGCAAGGCTTTAATATCTGATATGGAGAAACAGGGCAGCACGTATAAAAATGTTATGCTATGCTTAAACGTGTGTTTAGCATCACTGTTTGGGGAGCACAGATTTACAGAACACATACTACATTGTGGAATACATGACAATTATAAGGAATGTGAAAGGATTAATTCTTACCTTGAGAGAGCTGTGTTTTTAGTGATCTTGCATCTGTTGTAAAAGTGGAACCAACTGCACTGTTTTGGGACAAACTAGTGCTCACTGGAGGTTCTGTTCCAAAAGATGTTAATGAATTTCCTGCATCAAGATAAAAGAAGTGTCACATCTCACTTGTGTTATTTTTACTACTTAAAAAAAACACCATTTTAACAGATCAAGTCACTCAGCCACCTTGGCTAATGTAACAAGCACTCTATATATGGGATTGCCCTTTATGGCCACTCAGAAGCTCAACTCATCCAGAAGATAGCAGCATAAAGAGCTACATGCACCCCTCAGTTTGCCCATGAGATCCCTCTATTGTGCACGTAGCCTTTGCTTGTTGAAGAAAAAAATAATGCAGCTTACCAACACCAACAGCCCCAAACTGCTGACCCACTAATGGGCTTGGACTAAACTGACTGTAGGCCGGCATTCTGCCGAAAGGACCATAAGAACCCACCGACTGGTATGAAGAAGTAGAAGATGATCCTAGAGAAGACTAAAGAAAACAATGTTTGAAAGAGATTTCGTGCCATTTTCTACAAATCAGCAATAAAAACAAAAGAGGCTTTTCTTTGAACTCTTAACAATCAGTGGTATACAACTGTCCATTCATAAAAATTCATTCTACACGTTGAAGACATACATAAGTTTAATTTTCATCAACTCATTTGCCGGGAAGAATAACTGTGAGAAGGATGGTCTTCCCTAGTATTTATGGCAGAAGTCTGTTCCAAGGAATATCTCCTCCGTTGGAGGGACAAACCTCAATTCTGGAGAAAACAATAGTAAATGGCAACATTTTGGAAGGCCCAGGATACTGACACTAGAGTTTTCCCCTCTACAGGGGCAGAAATGGCATTTGCTAAAATGCTAGCAAGCTGAAAGGTTCTGAATGCTGGCATTTGCTAGCATTTTCCCCTGTGGAGACATGGAAAAACATTGATCAAAGGTTTTGAACCATGGCTCTTGTTAGTTTTTCACCTGATTTGAGGTCCATTCCTTTAGGAAGGGAGGGTAAATCTTTCAAAGCGCTGGAGCTCGCTGCCTGCTGGCTTCCCATTGATTTTGGGGGGGAAATGGCAGACTCCAAATGGCGATCACATGATTGCAGGACACTTGGCAACTGACCATATGAACAAGCTGTCAACCACCTGAAATGCATTCAGGTGATGGGAAGCGATTATGGTTTATATAAAAGAAATGTTTTCTCTGTTTTTCTTTTTTTAAGATATGAGAAATGTAAAAATGTTGGGATGGCTTGTATGAGAAAAAAGATTTAAATACTTAACTGTAATTAATTTTAAGAAAATCTTAACCAGTAAGAATGCTTTGAATATTGTGGGGAAAACAAATTTAAATAAGAACTTTGTAAAAAGGATCTATGATGAGGCAATCAAGATGATTAATCAGAAAAGAAATTTTATATTGATGTGGTTATTATTTGCAGAAACATGAGCAAAATGTTTATATTTAACTATCATTTATTCAAATAATAAGAACTGTATTAATTTAAGGTTGACAAAAGAATATTATTGGAAGAAGAGAAAATCAAGCAAAGCCATAATATGGACTATAGAATTATAGAAATTGTTATTGTTTTTTAAATACTAACCTAGACGACATGGTGTTTACCAAATATTAAGGCGGTTATGTTAAAAATCAATAAAGCATATTTAAAAAAGAAAAATCCATTATACAAAGGTATTGGGTGTTTTCTCTCAAATTCAGGGAAATATTC